TTCTAATATAAATAGAATCTTTTAATCTTAATATAAAATAATTCTAACTTATAAAAAGATTAAATCAGTACTTTTCAGTCGTTTCTCATTTATAATTTGCGTATATCTTGCACGATATACTTAAAAAAAAAAAAAAAGAAAAATACTACAAATAAAATAACACAAATTTCCATCACATAAAATCGACTTTTTTCATTCCTCTAAAAAAAAAAAAAATAGCCGATCCAAATAAATGAATCTCTTGATTAATAAAAATATCTTAATCCTTAAAAAAAAAATACATATATTCTCCTTAAAAAAATAAAAATTCTAAATTAAAATTTCGAAAAAAGCAATCCGCAAGCAATTTTAATAGCAAACTTCAACAATTTTCCTTCCATGTGAAATAAAGCTAAGAAAATTGACCAGCGCGTGATATATATACTTAAAAAAAATTCCAACAAGCGGACTTTATTTCTCGATCGCAACCCGAACACGGATCCAAACCTCCGACTAACGATCTAGTGACTAGACAGTAAGCAAGTGTGTTCGAATTCACTCCCAATCAATCAATCAATCAATCAATCAATCAATCAATCGTTCAAGGATGAAAGTTAGTTGGTGTGTGTACTGTAGAAGGTATCGTTAGGCGATCTCGGGATCGATCGATCGGCGATTAACGCGGCCGACGTGACCGCTTCAACCCACGAAACGTCGATCCACGACGACACGAAACGGCGAAGGCAAAACGCGATGCAAACCCATAATTTCTTCGCCACCCTTCGCGATTCCTCCGTTAAATTCGATTACGACCTATTTCCAACCTTACACCCTAGATAACGCATAGATATACGCATATGTTTATGTGTCATAATAATTATATATATATACACGACTTTCCTCTTATGTACAGTAATCGCAACTATTAGGGTTCTCGTTACATAGTTCATCAAGCCCTTGCAGGATCTTTGAAATTCTTTTTTTTTTTTTTTTTTTATTATTAGAAACGCGTGGCAGCGTTAAACTCCTCTCGTCCATCTTTTCTTCCAACTTCCACCACTACCCATTCTCCGTTCCCCACTCCCCCTTTCTTCTCGAATCGAGATCGATTTCGCGCGTAGCAAATCGATCGATTTCCCGGGTCGTCGAACATTTAGACGAGCGTGATTTTCTTCGCTTTCGTGATAGAAAAATCGTAGAAAAAAGCGACCGATAGAAAATATCCCGACGACCGTATTTCAGAAACCAGAAACGCTGTACGCGCGAAAAGGAATCCTATTCTCGCGATATTCTCTCAAATTTTCCTCTTTTCCACGTTCAAGATACTTTCTTGTTATATTGAATATAAAGAAGTTTGTTTTTTTCTTTTTTTTTTTTTTTATATTAAATATAAGAAAGTAGTATCGTGTAGAAAAGGGAGCGAGTTTAATTCTTAATACTTGGGGAGAATATGAGGACTCCTCGTTGAATATTCATCGTTCGAATGGGTGCGTAGTTTGAAGATTCCTCTCCAAATTGAAATATTTGCAACGCGCTTACACACGGTTGTTAACTATTTATGCTCCTTACGATAGATTCGTACGGTTAAGATTCGTGTATGGTTTATGATAAACGTGCATGGATAATTGTCTGTTCGTTAAAATTCTAACGTGAGAACGGGGATTGCCCGACTCCTTTCTTCTGTTTTCTATTTGAGCGATTTCTTTTCTTTTTTTCTTGAGATGGATTATTATTATTTTTTTCTTGTTGGTTGACGCTGACGGTTTTATAAAATTGATGGTGAGAGAGATGAGATGTCGGGTTCGTGGATATTTACAAATGTGTGAAGCGTTCGTAAAGAAGATTTTCGAAATGGCGAATCCTGAAATCTTTTTTTCTTTTTTTTTTTTCGTTTTAATAATCGTTCGTGAATTATTAAAATTTTGTACGCATTACGTGTTACGATTAACCGAGTTTTGGAATAATTAATACGGACACGATTAATTATGTGATGTTCAATTCGAAACAGAAGCTAATTAATTTGAATATGGATCGAATAGGTGAGATGTATTTGGACGAAAAGCAGATCGATTCGATCTAAATTACATTTCATTTGGGTCGAATGATGGACTGGATTACATTGGATTAGACATAAGTTAGATCTTAATTACATCTAGATTAGATTTCGAAGATTAATTGCTCTGAATTTAAATAAGTTAGATCAAAGTTAGTTCTTCATCAGAATGCTAAATTTCTATTGAATTTTAATTTATGATAAATTCAAAATATATACAATGTTATATTTCATCATCAATTTTGTAATTTTATTACATTTTATTGCTAAGTCTTTTATCGTAACACGTGCAATAAACACATAAAGAAATATTCGTTAAAATTAAATTTTTCAAATTTTAATAAAATTCACGACAAAAACAACGTTCAAATACTGTTGGTATATCTTAAGATGTATATATATATATAAGATGTATAATGATGATATTTATTACACGATTTTCAAAGAAAGGAGCCTGACGTACAATGTGTCCCCGATATTCGTGGCTTGATCGATGAATTATACTTTCTTTATTACGCGATCTTCGCGTAGACTCTGGTTCGTCCTCGTACATACGAAGCTACTCCATTTCATATGATATACGTTTGTTTCTCTTATTCGAGCCTCGTACTGAGAGAACGATCGAAATACATTCGTTAAAATTAGCTCATAGCTACGCAAAAACGATTAAAATACTTTGTTATAAATAAATGGATAGATTTTAGAGATGTATAGAAAAATATTCTGCCATATAATTAAAATATTATATACTGTATAATATTGTGAGTATGCACAAGAAGAAAATTCGTTTGTTTCTAATTGAAATTGTTGATTCTTAAGTTTAGAAAGAAATTCACGAGTAATATTTCTAAATTAATTTTGATTAAAAATCATGAAAATAGTTTTAGAAACAATTTTATCTTTCTTTTAAAAATAAAAACTTATTTTTCTCGACAATATCCTTCAGTTTAAGAGAATTTTTCTTGAATACTCACGATATGATTACATAAATAATATAGGAACAGTAAAAAAAAATCTATGCTAAAAGCTACAAACTAAAAATTGAAGGCAAGAAATGCTGCCTCTGTATCTTTCCCGTAGTTTAAATACATTCTATCCAATAAATCTACATAATAAATTGTAAAATAATACTAACTTACAAACAACATTTGTACATTTATCAAATACGTTATTATAAAAGCCAAAGAAACTATAATAATTCGTTCATTCGAAAACACAAGCTCAACTTGTTTCAAAAAAAAAAAAAGAAGAAATTGTGCAGAGAGAAGTGTACAACACACAATATGTTTCTATAAATAATAAAATTAAAATAAAACAATGTACATTTTTAATGATACGTAAACATACATTTTTCCATGTTTTTTTAAATGGAAAATATAATATGAACAGTTTTTCACGAACGAATCAATGATTCACAATCATGCCGTGTATATTTCGATAAAAATAAAATTATTCGAAAACTACAGACAGGGAATCGTCCAAATCAATATAAATTAAATCTTAAATGTCTAATGACTGCAATGGTGTTTCTCTCAGTACGCGAAGCTGCGAATCAACGAGCGGAAAGTTCGACAGTCTGCTTTTGCATTTCCTTCGCATAGATCACGATCGATTCATCTTCCTCTTCGCGTGTCTCTGAAAAACGAACTTTCTTTCTCTTGCTCTATCTCTCTTTCTCTCTCTCTCTTGGTCCCTATTTTTTTCTCAAAATCCTTTCCCTCTGGCCATCATTTATCTTCCCTTTTTGTCGCCAGTTCATTTGGAGAACGCATGAAACGAAAAGCATGATCGTTACGACTTCTCTACTCGACTACTGGATCTCCTCTAGATCTCCCCTAGATTTTTTTCTAGATTCTTCCTTCGGTTCGATCTCGTTCTCTTCAACCCAGAACGAACACGAACGTTCATTCCATAGAAAACAAAAAAAAAAAAAAAAAAAAAAAAATAGAAAGCTTCGTTCCATCGATGCGAACGATACGCTTTCTTTCTTTTTTTGTTTTTTTTTTTTATTTTTCAATCGTATATCGATATCCAGTAGAGAGAATTGCGCGATACCGTAAAACAAATACATAAATTCTCCCGTGAATTTTCCAGGGTATCGCCAACTTTCCATTAAAGTTTTTCTTAAATATACAGTTTATAACCGCGTACCGAAGTCGATCTATCATTTCTGATGCTCGTGATGTTAAAAACGTCCCCCGGTAAAATTCATCGACGAACGAAACTTCGAACTCGTTAAGCTCTCCCCACCAAGCTTTATTCGAAAATCATTTCGATTTAAATATCATCCACGTGGAAATTTCTCAGCAGAAAATTATCGACTTTTCGTTTCCACGTGTGCGAAACAAATATTCGAATCTTGCGCGCTGGGCGTCTATCATCCCGTCCTTCGAAACTCTCGAAAAAAAAAAAAAAAGTCGAAACTACACCATCGCAACGTAGGGACAATGAAAACGATTTTCTCGAAAACGGTGCGAACAGCATTAGGACCTGTGTTGCCTAACCGAGTGTCCTCTCTTTCTAAACTCGTCAAATCATTATCCTTTATCCTCTCTCTCTTTTTCTCTTCTTTTCTTCTCTCTCTCTTTCTCTTTTACGCCAATTCTACACGCCATTCTCGTTCGTTAAGTACGTGCACGACGACCGTCGTCTGCTACTATACGTGTAACCTAGAACCTTAAAACGACAACGTTCGAGCTTACTCTACAGGAACGAACCTATTTCTTCTTTTTTATCTTTTTTCCATTTATCCTCTGTTCCACACCTAGGAGTTTTCGTTAGCGTATATCAAAAGGACTATGTACAAAAAGGGGTCGGCCAGGCGGACGAGACGTTTCCCTCGAATACGTGGAACGTTTCACGTACAGGGTGGTTCGAGCGAAACGTTTTTCCGCTCTGGCCTCGGGCTTAGGAACTATACTTACTGCTACGCGATACTGTTCAGTGTGAATTCTTTTTTTTTCTTTCTTTCTTTCCTTGCTTTCTTTCTCTCTTTCCTTCTTTCTTCGTTTTGACAGATCGACTTTGGTTCTTTCTTGATGGATCGAGGGATAGGGGTCGTCGATCTGTCGACAATCTTGGATCGGTGCAGTCGAGCCCGATGGAAATTTTGGAAATTTATTCGGAAAGTTTTTTCGATGATCAGATATTATATGTGAAGAATTTTGATATCGCATGTGGGAGAATAATCTCTCTGAATTCCTGAAAGTTCTATTCGATTAGATTTCGAAAATTCGTAAAGATTGGAAAATAGAATTTCGATTCGAAAATCCGATTGTTTCCACTCGATTTGAAACGTTTAAAAAATTCGTAACTAAAACTCGATACGAAAATTTGTCTCGATTCGATTTCGAAATATTCATTTGTACATACTGCGTTATATGTATTCAACGCATGAAAACTATGATTAGAAAGAAAAAGTTTAGAATCGTTTCTAACAATTAAAATCGTGAATTATCCACGACTGCACCGATTCTCCTAATATATCTAAACGATGTGCTTAAATGACGCGAGATCACTACGATGAATCATTTTTTTTTTTCTTTTCCCTCCCCTTCGTTCTATCGTTTATCGATCGCTGCATTTTCTCGATTTTCTTTCCTCCTCTTCCTCCATTTTTCATCGTCGTGCAGGCATCTCGTTCACGATTCAAGTGTTCTTCGCTATTTTCATCCCTCTCTCTCTTTCTCTTTCTCTCTCGATGTATCTCTTCTCTTAACGTCTTCTCGCGGGAGAGATTCTCGGTTGATTAATGCTTGGAACGAATTTTAAAAGAGCGCGTCCTCTGTCTCAATATCGCTCCCATTCGACGCGGTGTATGGTTGCTCTTTTTCACTGAGCGTTCAGTTCAGACCTGTCAGAGAGGATGTCAAAGAGAAAAAAGGAACGTAATTTAATTTTATTGAAACTTGTACGAGAGAAATTACGAAGGGATTACGAGTTTTCGTTTGTTCTTTTTTTTTCTTCCTTTTTTTTTTTTTTTCGTATGACGAATATTAAAGGGGACTTACTTCAATGCTTTGTAACGTTCTTTCTCTGGATTGTTGTCTGGTGGTTCGCACTCGAACGATGCCAAAGCTAGAGCTATATTGTGAAAAGAAATTAAATTATGAAATAATGAGTTTTAACAAAGGTCACAGGATGGATAAAAATTAAATTTCTCCTAATGGCAGTAATTTCTTTGCAACGAAAGAAAATGCTTATGGCTATTCTAATTTATTAATATCGAATGAAATTATTGAAGATAAAATTGTAATCTTCTTTTTAAATATTACTTTATTCTTCATCGATTAATTTTCAATTTATTAATATTCTTAGTTTCGTTTTTTTTTTTTTTTTTAAAGTAATTAAACTTACCATTTTCAGTCCACACCGGTCTCGCCTGAAGAAAAGCAATGACACGTGGATTCTTTTCGAATGGACAGGCAACTTGCTTCCAGGCGATAAACTCCGTAACCTGTTTCGCCAGCTGCCAGAATTTTTCAAAGTTAATATGTCCGTTTGGCAACCTGTAACAATAATTTCGCAAAAGAATTAATTTTTCATAAAGTATTCTTTAATTTTTATTATTTTACATTTTTATTTTAATTTGTACAAAGACTGAGTAAAATCAGTTCAAAATTTCCATCAAATTTTCACAAAAACAAATATCTCAGATGTTTAACTTTTCAAGACACTTCATTTTATTTCAGACAATAATTTCGATTTATCCTTTTATTTCACAGAATCCCTCTCATCTCTCCTTAGTCACACACGATATTCATATTAATGCTTCGAATTAAAATTAAATTTCCCCTCTCATCAATTTAATCAATTTGAATTCCTCCACAACTATCGAAAGTTTCAACGTCAAGCGTTTCATCAATGTTTCATCATCGGTTAAGAATATTCTCGTCAAAGTATCGTGGATCGATATCAGCAACATCCTTTAACGAGCACGTTACTGTTTACGCTGTGTCAGCCATTCCTCGTGGAATAACGACCGCCTGTTATTTTGTTAAATTAATTTCGGATAATCCTGATAGCATTAGCCTAAGCGAGAGACGAGCTGATAAGTTAATGGTTACCTTCATAAATTTCGAGCGTATCAATCAATCTTCTGTTTGATATAAGTTATGATTAATTTCGATTTGATCTCCATCTCCTCTGTGCATTTCTATCCAGACATTTCATTTGATAAAATTTTTAAGCGAAATTTAAGTGAATCATCAAAACATCGGTTGAAAAATTGAGGTGAAATGAAATAGCGGAAGAGAAAGGATATTTTGTGAAGAGAAGTTAAATAAATTAGAGAAAAGAAAAATTAATTATATCGTATGTTTTAAATTGTGTTTCAATTATTGAATTTGTAAGGGTGTGTGTAAGGGTGTTCTCGATTGTGAGAAGTTAATATTGAAATTGGATATTTTATCTAAAAGGAAGTTGATGGGAAGAGTTGTAATTTCAAGAAGTGGGTTCAAAAGTGGTCAGCTCGCAGGGAAAGTCTCAAAAAGTTTCAGAGTAGTCTCTTCAAGTTTTATGTACTCTTTGAGAGCAATATGATTTTACGTGCAAACAATCTTGAAACTTGTTAAGATCTTAGAAGAAAGAAGAATCGAAAGAAAGTAGAAAGGTTCTTAAGACAAATCGCAATGAAAGAAAATAACGACTCAAACTCGTTTTTGAATAAAATGATCTTATTATGTATCAAAAAATTATTTATAAAACAAACACGCTTTCTATATAAACCGTATATAATTTTTAATCGCGTGACTTTTTTTCTCGTTATAACGGAAACGGCCATAAAAATTATCAACTCCTCTCGCATTGAACATAATCTAAAATTACTTCAAACTCTTGTACACTAATATAAAATTTAAATTTAAGTTTCACGAAGGCAATCCGAACCGAAAGAAACCCAATTCCCTCTCAAATCACATTCACTACAAATCTTCGAATACTCGCAATCGTCGTTTCCCAACAAAATTCCCAATTCCAAAAGAACTTTCAAGACCTCATCAGCCAGCCACTTTTTCTCTCAACTCTCAGATTTTCTTCTTCTTCTTCTTCTTCTTCCTCTTCTTCTTACAAAAAAAAAAAGAAAAAAAATGTAATGTAATTTTTTCACCGTTCTCCAGAATCGAGTTTCCCTCCTGTAAACTAGCTAACAGAACAGATACAACTCGCACGAGAAGACACACGTATACGAGCGCGAAAGCGGCGCGTTAAAATTACGAGTCGAAGTTGGGGCAATTTATCGTTGGGTCGGAAGCGTACGAATTCGCCCGCTTCCGGTTGCGCGACGCCCTGTCGCACGTAACAGACATTTACATACGCGCAACCATTCGTCTTTCAACCTTCCCTCTCTGGACGCCTGTCGATCGGCCAATATCCATCTGCCCTCGAGAAACTTATCTTTCCTCGCGGTTCCTTTCCATCCACCTCGTCCCACCGTGTCGTGGATCGAAATTCTATTAGAGATTCGATCCACGGACGGCGCAAGGAAGGATAATTGCCGGGAAGGAGGTTGCTCCTTCTCCCTTATTAAACCCACGTCGAACGTATTGGAAACGTATCGTGACGCTTTCTAAGGAAATTGATACTTTAACGTTATTCGGTTTACCGAGGAATGGATGGTTTATTGGGATGCTCGTGTTAAGGGCGGTAAAGGATTGTGGATCGTGTTCATAATGGAGTTGTGACTTGGACGAGTTGTTTGAGAAGCGAGAGGGTCGAGATGATAGAGGTGCTTTTTTATTTGGAAGGTGAGATTTATTCTAGAAGGGGAAAAAATAAGATAATTTGTTTTTTTTTTTTTAATTTTAACACTGTATGATTATTGACGAGGTTTTTGTGCTGGATAAAGAAATTTTTCATGTATTTATAGAATGTAATGTATGGTTCTCCATATCTTTTCATTTTTATTAATATACGATTTTTTAATCAGTTTATCTGATTGGTTGTATAACGCATATGTAAATTTTTAAAACGATTGTTATTTATGATATTTTTATGATTTAAGATTTATGTATTATTCTAATTCGTTTTATAATTTATGATTTTCCATAAAAATCTCTATTTTTCATGACATAAACAATGAACGTTTCGACCTATACATCAAATTAATCCATCTTTCATCTCGATTTCAATGATCGTTGCACAATTTAATGTAAAACGCCAATAAAATTCACTATACGAAAAATCAAACACACGATGGACCGCAATAACATTGGATCTCTTTCCTCAAACAATTCTCAAAATAAAATGGAAATCAATCGTCCATAAATCGAAGGAAGGAATAACCCAACACACGTGTCGTTCTTTTCAAACCCCCTTTACAATACCTCTCCTCCATCTCGTAGTCAATATCGACCTCTGTTCTCGATCCGCGTATTATGCGAACGGCACGTAATACCCGGACATTTATCTACAGTCGGTACACATGCATCCTGGAGCAATTTGTACCCACGTGTCTCTATACGCCGATTCGTTCCACTGCAATCGGCAGTGAAACGTTCTCGCGATATTCAGACGTTGCTCTATCTCGCATTTTACGCGACTACATTCTTCCTGCACAAAACGGTACGTAACCCATTTCGGGGATAATATACGCCATTGTGAATCTAACGCACGTAGTTATTCGTATGTGGGTATACAGTGATGAACAGAAATAGGGGATTATAATTTTTTCGTATTTATGTACTAAAATCTTGTATTGATTTGATATTTCGTAATGTGATTAAAAGAATGGTGAATATTTTTTTTTTTTAGAGTTTCTTGTTTTATTCCTGTGAATTTTCATTGACTCTTTTCTTCGACGAAATCGTTTATTATTAATTGTTTATTACATTTATTATGAAAACAATTAATTTTTTAATTTATAAATAAATCATGTTATAGAAGATTTTTTATTACTGAAAATCTCGTGAAATGTTATTACTTAGTTTGGAATTTCAATGCTTTCCATTATATTATTGCAATGAAAAATATTACACGCAACAAAACGTTGTATGCTACGTGAAAAAAACGAGCAGCATAAAAAAAAAAAGAAAGATACATTATTGCAATGCAGAATGGGGTATTTCGCACAGAAAGAAGAAAAATAAAAATTCTATTTAAAAGGTATACACTTTTCCTTCCTTTATTAATTCTACCAGTGAAATATTTCATGTGTAAACTAGGTAAGTGAAAAGAATTTTATTTCAAATTTTATTTCTGAGTATCAAATTTAAAGGAAAGGCAAATAACGGTGTAATTGTGATACTCTTCTACTGTAATCTTATCTACTAATTGCAGCACGAAGTCGACACTTTCTTAAGAAAATATTATTCAAATTCAAAGAATTAATTTTGAGAGAGAGAAACCTGTTTCAACATAGAAGAAAAATCTATTTTGAGCGCTAATTTCTAATTTCTGTGTCAAGATGTATGCGAAAGTATTACGCATACAGTTACTCTGTAAATATCATCTCATATATGCACATCCAGAGGAGCCATCCCTAATAGAAATTTTTTTTCTAATGAAACTTCTTGCGGCAAAGCACGAGCCAAGGTTTCATTTTACCCAGCAATCGTATGCGTAATGAGTTTTTCGAACGAACGAAAAAAACGTTCGTTCTACCTCGGTCACTCGTCATTGTCGACGATTAATCAGAGCTGACCTATAAACCGTTGGCCAAGATTATTAGATTTTTTTTACATAAAACCGAAAATCAGCGATTATGAGTGATTGAGTCTGTTTTTGAAAAATGATGGAAAGTTATTGGAAGTTTCGTTCTGTTAATTTTTCATCGCTGTATATATATTGTATATTTCGATTCGTTTGTTTTATTTTTATGAAATATTATATTTTGATTGCTTTTGAAATTGAAGAAAAATTGAAGTTTAAAATTCGAGTTAATAATTTATAATTTGATTCTTCAGTAATCATCATTACATATATGAAAATTTGTGTCGTAAACAAATTATCAAAAAATTGATAGAAATTTATAGAATTGATAGAGTATTAAGTAATAAAGCAAATGAACAATTACCATGCATTTTAAAATAAAATCTTTAAGTAGTACAAGTCAATAAATAATCAGCGAATGAATATTCTTTATTCCAAATTCCAAATATATGCATAAATTCAGCAAAGCAATTATAACAACCCAAAAAATATTAGTGAAAAGTAATTCACGAGTATTTTTCTGAGATCGTAGCAAAAAAGATTAGATCAAGAAAGGAAAGGGTTTCGTTCTCTTCCTTTCTTCCTCAGAAGCTCGTTTTCTTTTCTCGTTTTCTTTTCAACAAGTTCGGGTCGAGCTGCGAGAAAACAACTTTTGCTATTACAAGTTTAATAAGTTTACAACTGGGGCTATAAGGAATGACATTGGAGGGGGAAATTTTTTTGCGCGGAGGAAGGACGAAGAAAATGGTACGACACATTCGTCGCCGACAAAAACGAGCTACCTGTCAACGTATCGCTTCCACGAGGACGAAATTATCGGAGCTTCGAACTCGAAAGTTTTACCGATAGGAAATGGACGATCGCGTTTTAACCAAGGGCTAACATTCCGTGTCAATTCCCAACTTAAATTACTCTATAAATATTTTTCTTTGAATTTGTATAGTAGTAGCCCTTCTTGTATCCCTTCTTGCTTGTGGAAATTATGCTAAGAGATCATTGCCACGAGAGAACGCCACGAAGTTGTTAATTTCTTGAATTTAAGTTTCAAGTTTGTCAATTTTGTGTGCATTAAGAAAAAGATATCGGTATTTTAAAAAAATCTTTTTTCTTGATTAAACTTTAGAATTGCTTTCGTAGTATTATCAGTAGAAGATTAATACCAAAAGAATTATGTAATATTTCATTTATTAATTTGGAATATCTAACGAATAGATTTTTATTAAAAAAAAAGTTCGCGAGAGAAAATTATCAACGTGGTTAAATTAAATTCTTATTTCAAACTATGAATAATTGTACACGCAATTTCACAACAATTAATTGTCCTTTCGTGTTTCCCATAATTTCCGCAAAAAGCATCAAAGCCTTCGGATCAAATGCAAAGAATAATTGAATTAAAAATGATTCAACGAAATCCATTTACTTGTGTTGTGAAGGAAACATCGAAGAAAAACACAAAAACATAAGGAAGAGCGTGAAAATAGCGAAAATAACATCAATCACAAGTAAATGATAATTACTTAAAGAAGTAATCATAAATCTGTGAAATTTTTCGCAATCGAATCAGAAATTTTCTCGAGCGCTTTTAAATGATTAACGCGAGAGAAAGAAATGGGGATAGAGAGGGGGATAGCCGTTTTTGTACTCACTTGTTGCTGCATCCCTCGTTCAGGAAGTAGAGATCCTTGACCAGCAAACTGAAGAAGGGAACGACGATCCTCTGTCGTTCGTCCGTAGCGCCGGCGCTACGCCACATAGCCGCTTTCAGGGTGCTGCGATAGCTGCTAAAGTTGCTGCTGGGATCCATTTGGTGCTCAAGAATCGAGAATTTCGCCAGCTGCACCTTTGACCACTGTAACAGAAAATAATTCCGCGTATCTGTTAACAGAAACGTTTCTTGTTAAGTTGTTTAGCGTAGTTGCAGCAAGATCGGGTCTCTGTACGCATCGGTAAATCTTCCGGTCTTGTAAATTTTGTACGTAATTTCCTCATTCGAGCATTTCCAATTCGAGTTGAGCGTTGAAGCTAGGAAAATTGTACATGTTGTGGTAACTCATTAATGGTACACTAATTTTATTAATAATTTGCCGTATAATAGAAATAGAAATATTATTGAAGCAATATGAATAATTTATATAAAATCATATATAATTAATTAATAATTCGTTAATAATTTTTATTCATTTAAGTTATTATTTGCCTTTATCTTTACTCTTTTTATTCCTACTTCTTCAATTATTAATTCAACTTGATTAAAAGCGAAACAAGTAATGATCAAACAAAGTAAATATAATAAGATAATAAATCGATCATGGCCAAGTGGAACAAACCAGCTATATAATCGGAAAAATCCAATCATAACAGTCAACAAAACGTTTATGATCAGACGAGTATAAAAAGTCTATCACGATCATCTAGATACATTTCACTTAGAAGATTCAAGTCAGACAATCGAATAGTCTATTTTATCAAAATCTTCTCGTCTTATATAATAAACATAATGAAGAAATAAACATAAAAATTAATCAGAGGAAACAGTGGGCAAATTCTCGTACACGAGAAAGAATCAATCAAATTTTGTGAGAACCGATTTCGTTCTCACGCTGTTCGATCTTCACTGTTTATTTTTCGATCGATTCCTTTTTTTAAACGTGCACGATATGGCGTGTACACGCGAGGCGGATGGAACAGGGGAACGTGTTCACGACAGACAATAAGTGCATCTGACTCGACCGTCTGGATACAATGCAATCGAACTGATTCCATTCCCTTCAACCCGATACCCTTCATTCCTATATCGAATTCTATCCACCGTTTGCACGCTCAAATAGTTACCTTCGCTTTCTGACCCTGCCGCCTCCCTTTGTTCCTCCCCTTATCCCTTTGATTTCTATCCCCCCTCCTCATCCCTCTTCTTTCCGCATGCATTCGACCCACTCTCGTCCTTTTCATTCCTTCTTCTTTTCGATCTTTCCCTTTCCATTTCCTTTGCATCTTTCCCTTTAATTTTCTAATATCTTCCTCGGCTTTTTCTCAATTTGTTCGCTTTCTTTAACCTCGTTACCTTCATCCCATTCCTTAGATTCACCTGATCTTCAATCTGATCTTTTCTGATGATTTCAATTCGGACGCAATCCTTGTCCCTTTTGTTTCTCTTTACGATTTCGATTTTAATCATGAATTAATCGCGAATTTCTGTGAATGAAAACACAAATGTTTTTTTTTTTTCTTTAAAGGGAACCACCGTAAATTGCACAGTCCGATTTTATTTTCGATTACACATAAAAGGATAACGTTTTACAAAGAAATTAGATTTTTCTTTTCGAGATAATTGAATAATTTTAAGTTATAATAATAAGTTTTATAGTTTTAATTAAAATGTTGATTAATGTACGACGTGTAATGAAATTAAATTAACGAATTAATATGAATATCAAGTAATTATTATTATATGTAATTAATAGAAATGTAATAATAGTAAATTTAATTTTCACAAATTTAAACTAACGAAACTAAAATGTTTCCATTTCATTTGATTTTTAATCAAAACCTTTTTTATACCTTTATATTTTTATACTTTTTATATTTCATACGGAAAAAATTCTGTAAAAAACATTTTTGATTGACAAACTAATTTCAGGAACAAAGAATTATATTTACTGCGGTACATGTAATATTTTTTTTTTCAAAGAATGAAAGATTTCATGTTTATTACATCGAAATATAAATTATAGAATAAAAAAAAAAAGAAAAAAGGAAATCGCGATGTGCACAATAACGGAAAAGGCGAGCACAAAAACAATCAATTGGATTTCCATTTAAAGAGAACGAATTAAACCGTGGCATTACTATCGAGCACGAAACGAGTAAACCAGGATAATTAATTTTACGCTTGAATATAAATATTCGAAAACGCGAACGTGTCAAACATTCTATAAAAATCTATTATCTTCAAATGAAAAAAAAAAAAAATACCGTATCGAATGTTCATACATCTGAAAACGATAAATTGCGGGAATTCCTCGAATTTTGGTGGAGCGGAAGACCCTAATTACATTCGTTAAAACACAAATCGCAGTTTTAAAACGATAAATTTCAATTCGCGATGATATTTGTTACGATGGTATGACAATTCACATTTTTTTCGATTAATTTTTTTTATTTATAAATATTGATAAATAATCTTTTGAAAGAACATTAGATTTATCAAGATAATTATCGAAATAATAAAGTAATAAAGTAATTTTTAAGTACTTTGAATATTAATATTATTATTAAAATTAATTATTACAACAATATTAAATTCATATTTATCCAACTCTTCAAACCAATCAATTACCTTTCGAAAAAATCCGAATTAACTACACTTTTATCTACGCTAAAAATAAAAATAAAAATACTAAATGATTTTTTATTTCACATTTATCAATTCGTGAAAAAACGCAAAAGTATCACCGTTCCCGCTAATCAAATCATCTAAAATCGAGTGGAACTGAAAGACCTAATTGACGGTTAAAACGATGCCCACCCACGCTTGCTCGAATTAATTTATCGAAAACTATTTCACCGTCGCTGTACATCGCTGGCTACACGTTAATTCGTATTAATTAAACCGAATTTTCGTTCAACTTTTTGGATGGCCAATTAAACACGCTTGTGTCGATTTAATAGGATCGTCGCTATGCTATAATATGAAGTGGTTACATTTTGTTTTCTTCTTCTTATACATCCTTTTGCATATTAATCTTAAATTGATATCGTTTGATCATAACTGAGTGTAATTTGGTTTCTATTAGAAATTATTTGTAAAATAATCCCAGATACAAATAAACTTTTCTGCGAACGATATATTCTGGAAAATAATAAAATAACAATAAAACAAATTTTTAAAATTATTTTTCTGAAACTTTTTACGATAAATGGGGAATTCTAATATGTTTTATTTTATTTTAAGTAAAGTCATACGTTTAAAAGTTAAATATGATTTGAAATTTATTGCAAAAATGTGTCACGGTATGAAGTTGAAACTAGTTGAAAAGATTTGTATAATATTTGGATTGTAAATACGAAAAATATTAGTTTTGTATTATAGTATTGTATTTTTTTTCCCCATTTTCTTTTTTTTAATTTGGGGATATTTAAAATTTGTAGTATTCATTGTTTTATTAATAAAAGTTTTTGCTTGAAACACAGCGAAACGAGAAACTGATTGCAGAGATATTTGTGATGAATTTCAAAATAAACAAAATTTGAAATATGATATACATTCATCTGTATAATATTTCGTATAAAAATCGAACGTATTGAAAACATTGAATTCCAACTATTTCTCGAAAATAACCACGACTAATTTCTCTGATCTCGTTATACGATTATTTTTCAATTGTATCCCTATTTATTTTCTAAACCACATCAAAATTTAAAATTTCTCCAAAGAATTTTCCAAAAACTAAAATAATCATAAATAATTTTTCATACAGTTCCTTATTCATCTCTCAGTATGATTTTTCAATCGTATTCCTGCCTATTTTTTAAACCACACCAAAAAAGAAAAATTCATAGTTCATTACAAAATTCCTCAACAAAAAAGGAAATCCTTCATTCCATCAAGAATCCCCAAGAATTATTAACCAAGAGATGATAACCTACATCGAAGGTATCTCTCGAATAAAACCAAAGAAATCTTCCATTCCTCGGCAAATGCAAATGCTCACGGATCTTCGTGTGAAAGAATAGCCTCATCCGGTTGGGGGACTGAAATTCTTCAAAGATCGAGTATCTCACCATGTGTGCGAATCCAACACACACACATACATACACACACGCACGCACGCATACACAGGAGAACGAAAAAGGGTTTCTCTGCTCGCCCCGAGGAGCCATTTTTCTCAGCCGCGCGACTCGATTCGATTTCTCCGGGAAATGCTCGAGGAAAAAAACACGGAAAATCGGAAGACTCCTGGTGGATCCGGTAAATTGAAACTGAATAGGAAACGTGGAGAAAAGATAGAGGGATGGGAATCTGCTGGAAGGATCCCGCGAGACAGGGGCAAAGAAACGAGAAACCCTCTCGAAACCGGGAATTCTAATTAGGCAAAGCTGAGGATGTGGCCGGTAGGTGGCGCCACCTGGCCACCATGGCCATTTTCGAAACTATTCCCCACGATTTTTCTCTCCCTCGAATCGGAAATGATAGCGTGTCGCGCGAAACGAGGGTGTAAAGAGGGATGAGATAGGGATGGAAAATGGAATTTTGCTTCTTCTCGAGGGAAGGAGTTCAGTTTGGCTTGATTGCGAGTTTATTTATGCGGGGGAAAGGGAGGAGATTTAGCAATTTAAGGGTGCGGAAAGTAATGAAAAGTTGGGGATGGAAATAAAGATTTTATGTTTCGATAGGAAATGAGCTTGGCACGAGGTGAGAGAATTTATATCCCCTTTGTTTTTTAATGTGGAGGAAGGAAATTATTTTTTAATTGTTGTTTCATTTTGGTTTCGATCGCAGGGAATGAAATATCGTATCGTTTTGCAACGTGATATATTTTGAAGTTTTACGTTACAGTAAGGTGATATTAATTTTTTTTAATTTCGTGTATGAATAATTTGAAATTATAGAAAATGATGATTGCGATACGATGATAATTGTTTGCCTGAAATTTTACATTTTTATATCCAAGATTAATCGTCGTTGGGGATGTTAAACTATACGTCAATAATAAAATTCTTATATCATTTCCATTCATGTATTATATTCTTACAAATTATAGGATGAAAATTTTGTTAGAATAAAATGAGATTTTAATATTTAAATATAGATTCAAGAGACTGAACGTATTAAATGTAATAATTCCAATT